TGTACTATTTGATTTTGGCATGAATCAATCCCAGAAGGTAAGAAATCAAAGGAAGGAAAACCCTCAATGACAATAAGGGGCACAGAAAGTAATAGCGGAAGGTTTAACCAGACTTGCTTTAGAAAGCTTTTCTGTACACAAGACTATGTCCAAATGCATATGAAACTCCAATTACCAAAGGTGTTGTCATTTGCTCCACAAAAGTTACCCTAGCAGAATCTTCCAAAATGTGTTAAGTAACTCTCTTTACAAGCTTCAGTACCAAAAGAGGAAGGTCTCTTCAACTTAAAATGAGCATAAAGGCTTACCATGGAACTGCCTTCCAAGAAGACTGTAACAGGGTCAGCAAGAGGTCAGTTGTAAGACTCACGACTTTGCCATTATCAGGTAAGTTATTAACGAGGAACATGACATTCTTAGTAAGGAAAGTGAACATGTTTCCATAAAGATTCACTGCTAACCATATTTTTTTCAATTAGCTATACCCTAAGCAATATTTACTGAAGACTGAATGTCTAGTCCAAAACATGGCTGCCATTGAGGCGATGCCGACTCATACATATAACTGTCTATATAATGCTAGCTCAATTATCAATATGCTTAGGAGCCCCAATGGTGCAGAGGCTCCCATAGGGTTTCCATAGGGTTCTTTACACTGCAAGGTCAGCATTTCAGATGCACCAGCCACTCCTCCACGGAAAGATGAGGCTGTTTGCACACAAAAAGACTTACAGCCCCGACAGGGTTTGCTGAGTCCGAATGGACCACAGGGGCCAGGAGTTTGGTCCACTTAACAAAAAAATTGCTGCAAAAATACCTTTACTATTTTCCCTTTTGTTTAAAACTCACCATAAAGCGCAAAGTGCCAAAGTAGTCTTTACTTTCTGGTACTTTAATTCCTCCAAAGCTTAGACGGCTAGCTTAAGATTTTCCCAAGAGCTCTTGAAGTCCCTTCTGACTGACTTCCATTTGTTAAGAAGTGTGGGGTTTGTTTTCTACCCAGCGTTCTCATCCAGTAGCTGCTGTGATAAGGCAAGGGAAGCAAGTGCCATGCACTGCTTAATACTATGCTGGGTACAGAAACCTGGGTTCGTCCATTCAATTCTCACAGAAACTTCAGAAAAGCGAGAGCATTTCCCTTTACTGGTTACAAAAAAGGGAAATTCAGAGCAATTAAGTACTTGTCCAAGGGAGAGCTAGAAGAAGGCAGGAGCATAGTAACAAAGAATTTAGAAAGAAAAGCCGGCACTGCTTCCACGGGAACACAGTAAGCTTTATTCCACTACTCAGGTGTTTTGTGGGATTCCTTTACCTGTTGCAGTTCAAAACCACCAGCAGCTCCTCAGAAGAAAGACACGCTTTCTATCCCTGTGGTCTCAGAAACTCATAGGGTCAGTTCTGCCCTCTGGGCTCAGTATGAGTCTGCCGCCGAGAGATGGCAGGGAGTTTGGTTTGAGTGTTTACAGTCTTCGTGCGTGTCAGTCGCTGGGTTTTCATTAATAAAAGAAAAATATTCTTGACAAATGCAATTAGAGTGGGAAGAGGTAGATAACCATAGCCAACTAAAACAAAGATTGTTTTTAAAGGCCTCAACATATTTCTCACTGAATGTAGAAAGGACGTATCTTTCATTAATCCTCCTGTGATGTAAGGTCACACCTTTCCACTTAGTGTGCTTTCACAGATAAGGGTAGTGGGACCCATAACACACACACACACACACACACACACCTGCGATATACTCCCACTCCTCCCATATTCACTCAGCTAGGGGTGTCTCTATCGATGATTCCACTAGATCTCATATACTACAGGACTATACACACAAGGTTATACCATACCTCTGTTGCCTTTACCTTTTGCCCATGACTGTCTTCACTCTGCCTCCTTATTTTGTTCCCTGCACCTCGTGATACATGAACTTCCCTTTCACCCGTTACCACTCGTTTAACCTCGAACCAATAACTTATCTTCCCCTTCTCCCTCCTGCCCCCGATCATTAAGAAATACTTCTTTTGGTGTGAAAACCGTTGTTAACATTCACAGGACGGGCTGCATACAATCTTTGTCCTTCTGTGATCCGTGAATTTTGCTCAGCACGACTTTGCTGCAGGTTCAACCATGCCAGGAGTGCTTCGCAGGTTCACTGACCAGCGTTGCGACGAGCGTGGCTGTGCAGCTCCATGTTCTGGCTCATATTTGTCTAGGACACACAGCAGGTAGGCAGTCTGCTGGGTTATATGATGCTTCCCGTTCCACCTTTCTGAGGAAGCCCCATTCCCACATTCCATCAGGGTTCTACTATTTTGGTGCAGTCTCACCAACAATGGATGAGGGTCCAGTTGCTCCAAACCTTGCCGGTATCTGTTATTTTCTGTTTTGGGCCCCTAACTGTTATGGATGCTGGGGTGAGAAATCTCAACATTGTTCTGAAAATGACTAATGAGGGTTGGCATTTCTTCGTGTTTGTTGGTGAAATGTCTGCACATGTCCTCTGCCCGTTTTTAAACTGGACTGTCTTTTTCTTGTTGAGGCGTTCAAGTTTCCTATACATTTTCTCACTCACCTGATGTCATTGCCAACATTTTCTCCCACTGTGGAGGCTCTTCTAACTCTTTTGGTGATGCACACAGTGTCTGACATTTAGGAGACCCAAGTTATCAAGTGAAGTGTTTTGCTATCTGTGCTTTTATTAGGGTCACAGTGTGTTTATGCCATGTGCTAGAGCCCTTGACTTCCCTTCATCTGCCCCTATTTCCTTCACTGATGATCTTTGAAGTTCTAGGTTTTTGATATACCTTGAGTTTGTCAATGGTGTGAGACATAAACCTTGTTTTACTTTTTCTGCAAATGGATGTGCAGCTTTGCCAGCATCCTTTGCTAGAGACTTTCTCTTCCCCACAGACTGAGTTTCACCAACTACATCAATGGCAGCTATCCACAGGGAGATGGAGGTTACCCCTGGACCCTGACCCTTTGCTGAATCTTCTGATTTGTTCCAACATTTTCCTGCTAAGTCTTTGGGATTTTTTTTTTTTTGGGGGGGGTATTTTCTATGTATAGGATTTATCACCTGCAAATACAGAAAAATTTAACTTCTTTGCCAACCTGGATGTCTTCAATTTCTTTTTCATACTTCTGGCGAAGACTTAGAGCCCAATATTAAATAAAGGTGGTGATAAAGAGTATTTGTGTCTGCTTTCTGTTTAGAGGAGAAATTCTTTCAGTTTCTCTCCATTGAGAATACTGATTTGATCATGGGGTTTAGATATAAGTGTGTGCCCTTAATTATGTTGAGGAATTACCCTTCAATTCCTATTTTAATGAGTGTTTTTTCCCATCAGGAATGAGTTTTACATTTTGTAAATTGAAAAATAAAAAAATTCAAAATTAGTTGTTTGGGAATGATTAATAAATGCTTTAATTTTTCATCATTGATCATACCAATAATACATATATCCCATTAAGTGTAGAGATTTCTCTTATGGAATTAAGTATATCGACAGGGAAGTGGATATTTTCTTTATAATTTGTGACACTCTATGGCTTGAGGTGCTATTTATAAGATCCTGCTATTAGAAAGGTGACCTTCTGCAACTTTCCCCCAAAGGGGCTGCCTGCTTAAAGGTCAGAAATATCACTGGGCTCACAATGAATTAAGTGACGTATTTGCTATCTTACATTTCTCTGGATGTATTACAACAGTTCAGAAATGCTCTCTTTCTAGACTTTACTGGAAGCTAGTCAGATTCTCCTATATCAATGTGATTAACAATCAGCAGTATTTGCATTATTGGAATCGAGATAAGCAAAGTCAGTGACCATGGAACACTTCATTACAGAGAAGGCATGATGCCGGGTGGTGCTGGGGTAAAGGTCAGGAAGACCTGGTCCCTGTGCTGAAGCAGCTGCAGCAACTCACAGTGAAGTGAAACTTCAGGAACCATGTAAGAGGAGAAAGTCCCATGACTGGGAGAACTTGCCCTGCGCGAAGTTGGAGAAAAGGGTATCAACAACCCGGGAGGGGAAAGGAAAAAGGAACTCGGGAAACCAGGCGTAGGGGTGGCAAGGAAGCTCCAAAAGCTTTATGTTGAGAGAGAGTGCCACAGAGAGACGATTTCAAAATACAACGAGGAGATGTGAGACCCTTCTGGGTGCACAGAGCCTGTTTGCTGAGGACCTTGCCCAGGAGATGGCCCGGGTTCCAGATTATGAAGTCACTGTGAGCACCAGGGTTGTGAGCACTTCTTGGCCGACTCATACTAACCAAGTGGGTGACACGCTATCAGGCTAGCTGACGGAGGAAGAAAGCACGCACCAAATTCTCAGATGTGTTCCACTACTACTAATCATACCCAACACCGAGGGAGGAAGCACCCGCTAGTGGCTGCATACCTTCTGGGCAATCATGTTGCAGATCTCGGGCAGGAAGTCCTCACTGAGGAGCTTGTAGAGCTGCCGTTCCCTTAGGGAGGTCCTCTCTCGAAAACTCTCAGTGACATGTCTCCATTCTTCTTCCGTTTGGCACAAGAGCCACCATGTGCCTTGGCCTGGCCCTTGGGACCCTAGAAAAAGAAAGGGATGGATTTAATACACTAAGTGCCAGTAGGGCCTGTCTTACTATCTAGTCTCCATCTTACAGCCACGTAGGGTCACAGTTCAAAATGGTGAGTCAGAGGAAAAGACCCCTTAGTGTTTCTTTTAAAGTTCAGAGCTCCCCTGTTCCTAGAAGCCCTGGTAAGCACTGGTTTGCTCACTGGAGGGCTGATGGTTCACTCTTTGGCTGAAATACGAGCCCGTCTTCTCCCATCAAGACTTAGAGCTGCAGAAACACTCTATAGGGTGCTAGGAGTAGGAATGGGCTTGATACTAATGGGTGTGTCTCCTGCTCCTGTCACTGTCAATGATTAAATGTAGAGAATGCCTAAAGGCAATACAAACAACAACTGTGCTGACCTCTGTAAGACAGATGTCGGTGCTTTGGTATTTTTAGTTCCATCCAGTTGGTTTGGACTCCCGCTGCCCCTACCTGTGCAGAGTGCTAGTGCTATGGGTAGAGAGGCTATGACATCCTTGGGGATGTTTCTCAAGTTGCTTCTCAGTGGGGTTGAACCATCAACCCACTGGCTAATAGTTAAGAGCTTAACAGTTTTTGCCACCAACGGCCTTGTGTGTTCTAACAGGAAAGAAACCCATTGTCCTTGAGTCGATCCTGGTATATGGGGACTTTACAGGACAGAGTCAAACTAATCCATGAGGGTTCCAAAGCTGTAAATTTTTACCAGAGCAGGCAGCCACACCTTCCTCCAGCAGAGTGGCTGCTGGGTTGAAACCACTGACCTTCCAGTTAGTAGCCAAGGGCTCCTCATAGTGCTCTAGAAATGCTTATATGTATGTGCTTTCTACACAAGTGCTCTTTGAGTTTGAGTGTGTTTTAGAACTTATATTCTCATGTTATCAATTCCTATCTCGTCCAGATTCATAAAACTCATAGTACAACACTGAAAGAAAGCCAGGTTGGAAACAAGCACAATGCCTTATTTAGCGAAGCATTCGACATTAAAGAGATTGCTCTTTGAGAAGTGATTCGTTTGAATCACAAACATGAAATGGATTAGTCCTCATCTTGGTCCATCAACTGGAGAAATGGACACAGAATCTGGTAGGTGGAATGGAGAACAATGATCCTGACTATGTGTGATTCTAGAAAATGATAGTCACCACCATAATGTAAATTACTCCGGTTCACTTTATAACTTAACCGCCAACAAAGGTCATTACCATTTCTTGTCTGTGTCTCAGATGTCAAGGAGTTTTCTTCTTGCTTTTCACTGAAACACAAGAAAAGGAGGCATCCACTGAAACAAGGGGCCAGGTTCCAGATGTTTCTGTGGGTCACCCAGAAGGTAAACCCAGGGATTAACACAGTCAATTCCAGGATAATGTATGGGTATCAAGAAGGCACTCTCTAGGGAATAAATGAACGCCAGAGTGCAGCTGTCTGTTCTGAGTAGAAGATATGTTTATTCCCCAGGTGAAAATACGTAGGGACTCGATGTCACAGCAGCACCAGTGAAAAGGTAACTTTGAAAACAGTTCTGGAAATCATACATAAATTAAAAACACCAAGGGTCAGGGATAGGAATTCCAACGTCCTGATTCAGGATCCATTGAAGGCAGGTTATATGGGATTCAGCCTCATCACAGGCCAAGGGTAGGAACACAGGCACTGGGGTCCCCACTTAGGGCATGATTAACATTCCTATAAAATGGGCCAGTAATAAAGCTGCCTTACCAGGACTACTAGGGATGGAAGTAGAAACGACCAGGAGCTCAGCACAGGAGTGTTAAAGTGCCAATGGCATTTGTTTCCTGAAACTTACACAGGACGCCTTATGGAATTTCCCCTTCAGTTACCTAACCTGGTGCTGTCCAATCAAATTTTCTTGAGGGCAGAAACACGAGGCATTATGCTGTCTAGTAAGGGTAAGCACAAACACGTATGGCCACTGAACATTTCAAAGGCGGCCGATGTGACTGAGAAACCAGATTTAAAGTTTTATTTAATGTAGAAATATTTAAATTCACACGTCATATTCAAATACTTTATTGAATTCAGGCGCTTAAGAATTAAAATCACCAGTAGAGGGTAGTACAAGTCCATGATCTACATTCCCAACACTGAGACAATTTAGCTTATGATGCATCTGGAGCAATGCAGGCAGGTACAGAAAAGCTTTCCGAACAAGAAAGGGTTGGCAGTATTCAAATGAATAAAAAGTAAAAATATATGGGCGAGGGAAGGGAACAAAGAGGAGCGTATAACAAGGGCTCAAGTAGAAAATGTTTTGGAAATGATGATAGCAACATATGTACAAATATCCTTGATACAATTGATGTATGGACTGTTATAAGAGCTGTAGAGCCCCCAATAAAATGAGGAGGAAAAAAAGTAAAAATATAAAGGGAATTAAATAGTTAATAGCCTTTGTATATGGAACATAGGACATAAGTTTATGGAATGTTCTAACATGAGCTGCT